TTTGACTTGTTGTGCTTAAGGTCAAAGGTAATTGCAGACTCACTTTAACAATTGCTGCTATTGTTGGCACTCTCCGGCACAAGGACGTGCACACTGCTTGTCAAACTGTGCCGCCTTACATTTTGTAATAGCCAACGCAGACTCACGAAAAAAATGTATTTGACATACAAGTAAATATAATTTGGTTTCGGCTAAAAGCCTCACTAACAATAAATACATAAGAGCAACAACAATGACAAGCTAAAGCAATTAGTTTAATGTAATTCTCGCTCTTTCGCTCTCACTCGCCCATACTCACTCTCACTTTCGGTCTCCCCTCTCTCTCACTCTCTCTCTCACTCTCACTGTCTATCTCTCTCTCGCTTCAGCGCGAGATGAAGCGCCAGCAAAACTTTTATGTACCACAAATGAAATTATAGTCATACACACACACACACACACAGATATACACACACACGCACACTCACACAGTGGCAGGCCACAGGCTGTCGCTGCAATTTGCGCGTCGACAAAAACGTTTGCCCCTAAAAGCATGCCACACATTTTCGCCCGACTCCAACAGTCGCCGCCCGCCCCTCGCCCCGCTGCTGCTCATCCTCTTATCTTTTGAAGCTCACCTGCCTCACTTTTAAGCATTTTAACTTGCCGGCTGCCAGTGTTGGCAACGTCGTCGCGACGTCGTCGGCAAAGCTGTCATGCACATTAACCAAATAGCTGGCGCCTTGATTTGATTATCATGTTTTTTGCCAGTGCGAAGCGCCAAGATTGCCATCTGACAAGCAACATCCTCGATGCCTTTCGTGCAACAACAGCAGCAACAACAACAATAACAATTGCCGATGCCACAGTCAGTTGTGCGGCATCTGCCGGAGGCTGAATAAGTTTGATAATGAACCGGAAAGGGTATTTCTGCTGCTGTTGTTGGGCCATAACAATAACGCGTACTCTTCATAACCTTCAAACGAAGGGTTATTGTTATGGGTGAACAGATTTTCGCATGTGACCATGGAGGACGTAATGCATTGATATTCATTATATTATGTGACACTTCTAGTTGCACATAACGTGAAATAGACTATGCAGCAGCTAATATATTTTTATTGCATCAAAGTAAACATGGAGGACAAATACTTTAGATTTTACATGTTTCTAGAGCATAAAGGGATCATCAAAAATGTCTTTGTAGTTAGTTAGTGTTCGTAATTGAAACCTGGTGAACAAGACTTATCACTATTAAGATTTTGATACACATAAAGTGACCATGGAGAAGGCTTCCATTTCCTTAAAGTGTTTGTGTAATAAAACCTTCCAAATATAACTCTTCCTAGCTAAAGATATATATTTATAGCAATAGAAAGGCCTTGCTGTACATAAAGTCACCTCTGAGCACTCGCCCGACAGAAAGTATGCATACATACATACAAAAGTGACCATGGTGGACACGCCTGGGAGCTGCGAAGTTCTTAGAGCACAATATACTGAGTTACAGCTAGTAAATTTATTTTTAACTTCAAAGAACCTCGAGAAATCATCTTACAGAAAGAGAAATGTGAAGCTAGGAACTTTTTGTAGAAGATAAACTGACCATGGAGTACAACTCTTTCAGCTAGAATAAAAATGTCAAATAGTTTTAAGCAAAAGAAAACAAATAGTACATTTTAAAAGTTATCGTTGTCCATAAACTATGGCTAGCAGCTAGAGAACATTTTGTCAATATTAAGTGACCATGGAGATATCTTGGAGGACATGTCTTATGGATTTGTTTGTGAGGCTAACAGTTTTTAAGAGCATACAAATACAATTGAAATGTGAGTTTATGGCTCATCTAGATATAGCATATTTCTGCCACATAAAATAACCATGGAGGACAGCTCGTTTAGCTGGTAAGGTTATGGCGTACACATAAACAGACAAAGTAGTCCCCGTGATAAAGTTCTACCTCAAACGCACCGTTCTACCTCTCTCCGAATACCCCCCCAGTGCCAGACCCCACAGTTTACAGTTTGGTCGGCAAACATATTTTGACTGGTGCTTTGATTTATGGCTGGCCTTACGGCTGCCCCGTAGGCGTTTGTTGGGGACAGTTCCGCCCAGTTCCGCCATTTTGTTCTGTTGTGTGTCGCATGCATGATTCATGCGAATCTCGCTCCGGCCCCGTTATTATTATTGTTGTCGTTCCTATAGTTGTTGTTACTGTTGTTGTTGTTTCACTAGAAGTGGAAGTCACTTGAAATCTGTTTGTTGCCGCTGTGATTTCCTGCCATTTTCTATGCCCCCCTCCCCCCACGCACACACACACACCCGCCCCCACCAGGCGTGGGTATATCTGCAAATTGCCTGCAATAAATTTTTGCCCGTTTGCCATAAAACACTTAAAACGATTTGTGCGAGTAAAAAACAAGAAATGAAAAAAAAAACAAGAGTGCTCTAGTCGAGAGCTCGGCTAGGAGATACCCTGAATAAACATTCGAGCTTCCTCCCACACATACTTCTTCCCTCCCCCAGCCACGTACTATGCGATGTTCTGTCTTGATTATACAGCTTCGATGTTTACATTTCGTTCCTTATGAAATGTTCAGTGTCTAACTATGGAACACGACTCTATCTATCTATCTATCTTTTTATCTTACAATGTCCTGTGAAATGGGGAAGAGGATATTTAAAAAGTGAAATATTCTAAACGAGAAACTATGTGCCCAAATCGATATTTATCGATATTATGCAAAAGTCATTTCTCTAATTCTTGTTGTTTCCGAGATCGAGGTACAGGTATACCCTCTAAGTTCGGAGATGCTTCCCACTGCCTGTTACAAGCATTCGCACAAAAACAGCATGCCCTTTGTACCCATTTTTAATGGATTCAGGGTGTATATAGAAGAAGAGAGGCAAACAAGTAGAGCTGAAGGAGTGCAAAAGGAAAGTCTGCAACGGCGTCGCCAGCAGTTTTTTCATTCGATTTTCTCGACGCGCTTGTTATATAAGCCATAACAATTTTCCAATCATTTCCACGCAGTTCGCATGCAAAACAAAATGCTTAATTACTTCCGCGGCGAAGGAGGCGGCTGAATTTTCCTGACGTACAAACTCAATTTGAAATTTACGAATGCCGCAAAATGTGGAAGAAAGTGGAAAACGGAAAGAAAACTGCCAAAATAAAATGCACACAAATTCAATTTTATTTACCATAGTTCGCACAAACAACAATAACAAAAAACAAATGACTTCCTTTCTGGCGAGGGTGTACGTGTGTGAGTGTGTGTGTTAGTGTAAGACACACATTCACACACACACACATAGCCAAGTTGTGCGGCTTGTGGACTTGCCAAAGTTTTGCCTACGTTCACATTTTGTGTGTTGCTGGAATTGGTTATGGCATGGCCAAAAGAAATTATAAATGAATTAGTTAGAAAGTCACGTGTGCGTGTGTGTGTATTTGTGTGTGTGTGTGAGTGTGACTGGTTGTCTTGCTGCATTGTATATCTGACATTATCTGCGTCTCTCTTGCCTGGCTTATTGTAAGCGGATTAAGTGTTTGGGAGCAAAACTTAAAGCATTGGCTCTGAATGATTCAGAAGCCAAAGCGTATTCTGAATGAATTTACTGAACACTTATCGGCTGCTGTCATCGGAGCTGAGTTCCGTTGAGTTGGGACTGTGCCGCAACCGGATGTCTATTTAAAGTCCGTGAAGCTGGACAATACCATCTCGCATCCCCCTCCCTCCGAGGAGGTCAAAAGTTGTTTGGCTGCTAATTGAAAACTGCAAACTGAAGACTGTGAACTGAAAATGTTTGTGCTCCAAATTAGCGAAACAATTTTGCATAAATGAAAGGCAAAAATAAAAACGAAAAACAAGGCGAGAGAAAACTACACAATGCGCCGCCGGGCCAGCCCAAAAATAGGCTAACAAAGCGAGAGCCATGTTGAATGCCAAATCTGTGAAGAGCAGGCACCAGACTTGACCCTTCCCAAATTCGGGCTATACAAATAGCTGTGTGAAATATAGAAAAGACCCAGAGTATGAGAATGAATCGATTTGAATAAAACCCAAGCATAATTCTTACTTTATTTCGAGAGCCTCGTCAGGTCTTGGTCATCAGCAAATGAGAATGAATCGATTTGAATAAAACCAGAGTTGAACTCTTACTAATATTCTTTTTAAATATCAAGAGCACATTTGTCGTCCCTGCTCGCGCGCAATTAAGCAGTAGTTCAATTTTAGTTACCAGAGAAAATACATGCTTTGGGTAAACCACATTGAAGAGAAACGTCAAAGTGCAAGCTCGCAGATATTTCTTTAAATTATAGCCAACGAGAGAAAAACTAAATCAAATCACAAAATTACATTTGCAGCCACACTTTCCACTAGAATCTCTTTCGCAGACGTCATTGAGAAGCGGTTTTTCTTCGGTCAATAGATTTGACCTTAACATCTAAAAAGGGAATGGCAAAGCCAACAAATATTTTCATAGCAAAAGAAACAAAAATAAAGACAGTCAATCGATTTGATGGAAACCACATTTATTGCTGGCTACAAAACAGAAGAGAATAGAAAGTCCTTTTAAGAATTCGATTTGACTTTTACAAGCAATGCGAGCTAGTCAACCAGCTAAAATGTCCACAAATCGTTGATCCATTGCAATTATCTAGAATAGCATTTTTTACAGTCATAATTCATTATTTATTTATTAGTTTCAAAGTGGAATTTCCTACCAATCCTTCCAAAAAAACAAGGCAATGATTAAATTAGCAGTCTTCAGTCGCCAATTATAATTCTTAATTGCCAGCAACTTAAATTCCAGTTGACGTGAACTTAAGACGAGAGTAAAGATAAGATAAAAGATTACCCCATACATATCAATATAAATCATCAATATCTATGTAAATATTATCTAGCGAAGTATTAATTGACCGTATATGGTCGACTCTATTGATACAACTTGGCTTTGATAACCCAGTCTAAACGTATTGTTTGGTTCTGTTTGTTTTGTCCTTTTTGCAGCCAGCGGAATTTTAATCAAGCTGCAACAGCGAAGCCCGCAGAATGCAGCAGGCGCAGGTGAAGCGTGCGGCAATAACAGCGGCTGCCGTTAATTGAGGCCAGGACCAGGACACGGTCAAATGGCTTCATTTGTATGCAAAGCAAACTCAACCAAAACAACAACAACAACAACCAGAACAATTGAGAGAACAAGTGAAGTTGAAAGCGAAACAAAGTAAACAAAGGAAATGCAGCACAGCGGCTAAGCGCCTGAAGCTGAAAAGAAAACCTGAACCAAATCCACGCACAAGAGTCGGACGGAAAGTAACTGAGGACAACAAACAGCACAGAGAAGGGCAACAGGATGATGAGCGCAGGGGGCACCTACATATCGACGGCCACCGTGGAGGTGCCACAGGCTCTGCAGGATGGCGAGAAGTTCATCAAATGGGACGATGTGAGTAGTGCAAAAGTTCAATTCATTTATTCATTCATTGGCTAGCCTTAGTAGTCATTGCTGTGCTCCTTGATCCAGTCGGAGTAGGCGCCCGTGTAGGTGTAGACGGAGGGGTATTTGGTGCTGGCGCAGGGTGTGTAGCCCCAGGAGACAATGCCCACCAGCTGATAGCTGCCGTCGGCCTTCTTGTTCACCAAGGGACCGCCGCTGTCGCCGTTGCAGGCGCCGTCGGTGGTGCCGGCGGTGTAGCTGCAAATGTTGCTGTCGGCCAGGCTATTGCCGCCTGGCAGAGCATCCAGGCAGTCGGCATAGCTGATGATGTCCACGTCCAGTTTCTGCAGCTTGTCGGGCAACGAGCCAGAGTTGTCGCGTCCCCAGCCGAAGAGCACGCCGTCGGTGTTGGCCGTGAACTGGTTGGAGGCCAGCGAGATGGTCGAGACGGGCGCGCTGCCATCGCGTGCCAGCACAGTCAGATCGAAGGGCTCCTCCAGGAAGATCAGACCCAAATCGTAGGGGCCAACGCCGCCGCCGTATTTCTCGTGCACCGTCTGACGAGCGCTGCTGCCCTGGCGCACCTGAGTCGCCGACTTGTCCGTGCGACTGTGGGCGCCGGCAACCACCTGGAATGTGGCATAGGTCATGCAGTGGGCGGCGGTCAGCACAACGCGATCGCTGACCAGGGAGCCGGCGCAGTAGTGCGAGTTGCTGGTCGACTGCAGCGACACAATGAAGGGCGCCTCGCCGGAGTTGGCTTCATGGCCGTTGATGATGCGACCCTCCGGGAATCCCGGCCAGGCAATGATATTGGCACTAGCCGAGGCCACGGCCAGTGCAAGAAGCACCACAAATTGTCTCATGTTAACAGCTGCTGATTTCACCGTTTACTGTGTGCCATCGGTAGCCAGAGCATTCCATTTTATAGCCAGCGTTGGTGCCTTATCAGAGAGCAATCCTTATCAAATCGATAGCTATCAATGGCAACTGGTCTTTATGGAAGTCATTCAAGCAACGTGCCGCAGATTTGTGGCAAATTTACGATCCTTGTTTTAGCGGCTTTTGTGGCTCTTCTGTTCTGACCGTGTCCCGATTAACCAGAGTGCACTCTGCCCGCCAGACAGCGTTATCGGGTCCACTAATCGCTGGCGCAGGCCCACTTTAGATCGGTATCAATAGCAATAGATGGAATCATTCAGTCATCCTCAAGTGGGCTGGCCCAGTTCGATGATTCCTGCTTCGATACGTAGATCGTCTACGCGTAAATAAATATCGCGGCAAGTGGCTCGTAAATCTCGAAATCGGTTCACTTTATTGCCAACCATATATAAAAGTAATCTGTATAAACAAAGAAAAATTATTTTCATTTCTGCAAGATCATTCGTCCGATTGGGCGCGCGTCGTAAAGCATAGGAGCGTTTGAAAAGTTCCCGATGTGGTCATCAAGCGAAGCAGACAACTGACGACAGCTACCAATCGGAATCTACAACCGTTTACGGGGGCTATAAATATAATATCCGAATAACTTGTGGCTCATGTTACGTAAGCGCTGTCGCATCCAACTTAACAAGGGCATTCAAGTTTCTGGTGTTGCCAGATTGCGTTATTTTAATAGCTTTGTGCTTGAACAAATAGTACTATGTTTGCTAGTAATAGCGATTTTATACCAGGCAAGCTAATTTAACATCTACGATTAGGTAACGCTGACATCAGGTTGGGTAATTTTCAAAAGCGAAAAAGTGTCTCACCCATCTTAAGTTATTTCACAAAGCATCCGCATGTTTCTTCTCTTTTGGTGCTGCCAGACTGTTTAATTTAAAAGCTGCGTTACAAACATCGTATAAATACTATCGTATCTTAGCCTCATTTGCAAGCTAAATTTTTCGCCAATCAAAGAGGCAAATTTATTAATCAAATCTACAAGTTAGAACAGAATGTAGTAGGCGCTCTGGATCTTGGCGATCCAGTCGATGTAGGAGGAGACGCGAGTGTAAACTGAGGGGTAGTTAGCCAAGCCGCAGGGAATGTAGCCCCAGGAGACGATGCCAATAAGCTCAGAGGGAGCATCCTGGTGCTCAACGACCAGTGGGCCGCCGGAGTCACCGTTGCAAGCGGATTTGCTCTGCTGCAGGGAGTCGGAGCAGACATTGCTCTCAGCGAGAGGGGCATCGGCGGGCAGAACCTCCTTGCACGTATCGTAGTTGACAATCTCGGTGGTAATGGTCTGCAGGGTCTTGGCGGGCGTAAACACATAGGACTTAGGCTGGCCCCAACCGTACAGATGGGTCTCACCCTGATGGATCTCCTCAACACCCGGCAGGGTAGCTGGGCTAACCCACTCGTTGAACTCGAAGGGTTCGCTGACGTGCAACAAGGCAATGTCAAAGGGACCAACGCCGCCGGTGTACTGCTCGTGGACGCGGCCAAAGTCAATCTGGCGGCGCTGGGTGCGCTCATCTACCTCTGCGCGCTGGTGCAGACCGGCAATGGCGCCCATGCCAGCCGGGTTGGAGATGCAGTGAGCGGCAGTGACGATCCATTCCTTGTTGATGATGGTGCCTCCACAGCTGTGCGAAGTTGGAGGCCAGGGAGACAATGTAGGGTGCCGCATGGGGATCGGCGTCGGTGCCGTTGATCACGAATCCAGTGGCAAAGCTGGGAATAATCTTGGCCAAGGTATCGGTCAGCTTGCCAGCCTGGGCACTGGCTGCCAGAAGGGCCAGAAGTGTAACAGCGAGTACTTTCATTTCGGTTGAATGCCTTGAAATTATGGACTCAAACGATAAGTAACAACCTTTTATAGGGCCATCAGCCCGGAAGAAGAAGCGTTATTATCGGCAGATTAACAGATAGATTTATAATATAGATTTCCCTTAAGGCGATTATCATATTTTATGACACCAATTTTCTCATCTATCAATATTCCGACTAATCAGCTAAGTGGGATCGAACATCGCTTGATAAGATTTAAATAGCGAACAGCCCACTGCAATATTTTGACAACCCTGGCAAACGACGAGCCAAAGACCGTAACTTCGTTCGATAGTATCGGTAACTTAAGAATACTGAAAGATTATTTGAGAAAATGTACTCGTTATTATGGAATAGCTTTCAGCCAAACCCAAAGAAACAGCTAGTTTTATATATATAGATTTGGCATTCGATTTTCGAACACACCTTTCATGCTTTTAAAGAAAAGTCTAGTAAAGTTACGTAAGAGTCCATTATTGACAGCTGGGATGAATAGTACCTAATACTTTTGGAAATAAGTTTGCTGATGAAAAATGAAAGGTTAGAACTTTTGAATTTTCCACAAACTTTTCAAAATCGGTTTCATCGTATTCGTTTAATTGGAGCTGTCAAAACAATCGGCGGCAAGTATATGTCGAAAATGTGACTTCGTTGACAGCGTTGATGTCTGTAAAATGTTTTCATGCCCTTGTCGAGGATATTTTAAGTTTGTCATGAAGAGTCCTCATAAATCATATATATTCTTAATCAGTATGAACAGCTGAGTCCATATAACGATGTTAGTCTATGGGTCTGTCTGTTTAAATGCAAGCTAGGCCCCAAGTTCTAAGCTTTCTTTTGCAGGCAGTACATATGTCAGATCGGATCTCTTTATAATATATTGACCATAGAAACGATCAATCCAAAACTCCTGACTCATCATTTAATAGTTTCATTATGCTCTCTATGTATAAGCTAAGTGGTATCAACATCGGACATTCTATATCATGTAGATTCCAAAGGAATGAGATAGCTTAACGGATAACACACTAAATATTAATGTCTGTGGGCTATTATATTTATATGTAATATAAGTAATTAAAAACCCATTTTGTCAGTCAACCATTTCTAGGAAATTTTCAATTCCGGAATTCTTTTTATTAATAATACAAAATACGCAGAATTCAAAGTCATATTTTTCAATTATGCTGCATAACATGATTTTGCAAAAGTTTAACAAATATATTTATATAAGCCATTTATTTAATGCTGCTAATCTTCACCCTATGTAAAATGCCAGTCACACACATTCATTTATTGATATAGCTCCAAAACATGAACCACCAAAAGTTGGCCAATAGGAACAAGAAACTCTTCCCTAGACGCTTATAGATTGGTTGTGATACAATAGCTTATAATTATACTCTGTTCAGAAACTGAAAAAGAGTATATTGGGTGTCCGTTTAAATCCGTTTAAAATCACACACCCTTTCACAAATTGCAGAAATCGATATTTGTTAACTTTACAGTTTGAAAATAACCTCTTTGTGCTTACAGTTTTACATTCATTAGTCTAAACTGTTTTTCCGCTGATTTAAAATTATAATGAACAGACTCCTTTCTCTCTTCTCGACTGATCTAAAATCATAATAACACAGTAAACAGAGTACTTAACAGTCGATTCATCCCCACTAAAGCGATCGTTCTTGCTTTTAGCTAATCTATTGACATACGCCCATTAACAAGGTATACGTGAACCCAAACAAAGTCCATAAAAAGCTACACTAATCCAACCAAAATTAGCCAATAATTATTGGAGATTAGATTAGATAGTCTGAGATAATAAATTGTTATTAATTATGGTGAAATAAGAAGATCACATGCTTTATAAAAATGCAATTTGTACTCAATAATCCAACTGGACTTGACTAGAGTCAAGTTCGTTTATTAAAAAGTTGAAGGAAGAACTTAGTTCAGAATGTAGTAGGCACTCTGGATCTTGGCGATCCAGTCGATGTAGGCAGAGACGCGGGTGTAGACCGAGGGGTAGTTGGCCAGGCCGCAGGGAATGTAGCCCCAGGAGACAACACCAATTAGCTCAGAGGCAGCATCCTCATGCTCAACGACCAGTGGGCCGCCGGAGTCGCCGTTGCAAGCGGAGATGCTCTGCTGCAGGGAGTCGGAGCAGACATTGCTCTCAGCGAGAGGGGCATCGGCGGGCAGAACCTCCTTGCACTTATCGTAGTTGACAACCTCGGTGGTAACGGTCTGCAGAGTCTTGGCGGCAGTCAAAATGTAGGATTTGGGCTGGCCCCAACCGTACAGATGGGTCTCACCCTCGTGGATCTCCTCACGGCTGGGCAGGGTGGCTGGGCCGACAAACTCGTTGAAATCGAAAGGTTCGCTCACATGCAATACGGCAATGTCAAAGGGACCAACGCCGCCGGTGTACTGCTCGTGGACGCGGCCAAAGTCAATCTGGCGGTGCTGGGTGCGCTCATCCACCTCGGCGCGCTTGTGGAGACCGGCAATGGCGCTCATGCCAACCGGGTTGGAGATGCAATGGGCGGCAGTGACGATCCATTCCTTGTTGATGATGGTGCCTCCGCAGATGTGCGAGTGACTGGCGAACTTAGTGCCCAGCGAGACAATGTAGGGTGCCGCATGAGGATCGGCTTCGGTGCCGTTGATCACGAATCCGGTGGCAAAGCTGGGAATAACCTTGGCCAAGGTATCGGTCAGCTTGCCAGCCTGAGCACCGGCTGCCAGAAGGGCCAGAAGTGTAACAGCGAGTACTTTCATTCTGCTCAAAGCAATGGACGACGAATGATGGAGTCGTTGGCGGGCAGCGACCTTTTATAGTTCGCTGTTATCGGCCGATTAAAAGATCGATTTATGATAATGATTTCACTATTTGCTAATCAACTTTTATGACTTGATTTTTCCACACCAAGCGAAATTAAGCTAATCCAAATCCAGCTGATAAGGATGAGGATTCCAAAAAAGCGTGCCATTTTAAAATACTAAATAGCACTATGTAGAACCAGAAACCCAACTCTCTACAGTCGCTACATGTTATACGTGTCGGGCCTTCGATAATTGCCATATTTTTAGCATGTGTAATGTGGGCTCTTAGGTGTTGACAAGCCACGCGTGCGAGGTCGCCCCGAGCCTAAGTTCCCCTCTTATAAAGGGTCGCTATTTATACGTATGTGCCTGTTTGTGTATGTGTTTGTCTATAAAGGGATACGCGTCCTTGGCGGTTACATAAAAGAGTGGACAATGTCCGGCGCTCCGCCCGCGGCAGATGGTGGCCATTTTACGGGCTTAGCCAATTAAAAGCAAATTTTACGCCGCTGCGGGCCGTGGACTTTGTGCAACCGCACGCACACAAACACACCCACACACACACACGCGCGCACTCACACAAATGTGTACACATTTAACTAAGCAGCGCAGGGCAAAGCCCAACGGCGGGGAAAATACAGAACATGTGCCATGAAAGCCACTTTAAAGACCAGCTAAACGATGATAATAAAGCTCCGGCCGGGCACAACGAATCCTCTAATAAGCGCCTGACTAAACTGCGGCCCTGTTTAATTTAAAAAGAAATCTTTACAAACTACAGTTAAAATAATCTATTCAAATGTTTCTCAGAAAGACGTAATCCGCTTGATATCAAAGTTATATGATATCGTAGCTCGTAAATTGAAGACTTATTTACAACAAAAAATTTTTTGACTGATTATTTGTTCCGAATATACATTATTCAACTTTAGGGAAACAGGGAGACATTATTCAAAAGTGATTGAATTATTCTTTTGATCTGGGAACCTTCATGGATTTGCCGTAGTCCTTGAGATAGACGCTTTAATACTGACAGATAGACATAGCTAAGCAAATGCATCTGCTGAGGCTGATTTAGAATATATACATATATATATATATATGTAACTGCCTTAAACACACATTTTAAGGGTAAAGTGTATAAGAAATCCCTGAGCAATAAAGAAACTTTCTGAAAAATATCCCAAGAGAATATAAGCAAATCCATCTTCTTATTATAGAATATGATTCTGTTAAAGCGGTAAATATATGAAAAGTTCTAGCGAAAGAATTGTGATAAATTTAGCAATATTCTCTTGATATAGCCAATCAAATTAAAGAAAGACGAACATGAATTAATAACTACATAACATATATTTGGGTAATGAAAATTGGAAATATCCCAACTAATATCAAGGTGTTAATTGAACGGGAAATTCTCTCTCGCTCTGCTACACTTGGAGCTGAGAGTGGATCGTGAATTCCGTTCGTGATTGGGAACACGCACGACGTCAACAATCTTTTTAAATTAACAAAATTTCCCAATTTCCTGAATACTTTTAAAAAATGTTAAAATGGAATACACATGGATAGGGAAAAAATAAACAATGATAGACATTAAGCAGCGTGGGAATTTGCAATTTCTGGCAACTGAATCCAACACGCTGCCACCTCTAATCTCTGCACGCTCTCACTATCTCTCTGCTTAAATACCAATCGCACTTGTTACCCTCACTGCTTATCGTAAAGCTCCACTGGACGACTGCGTATATAAGTGTCGAGAGCTCTCGGGAATGGTTCACAACAATCGCAGTTCACAACGATAAGTAACGTCATGTTGGCGGTAAAAATTTTCTTAGCTTTGCTACCGCTTTTGGGGCTGGCCCAGGCCGGATCCCAGGTACCCCAATTGGAGCACCTGCTGGCGGGTCACTATGAGGAACTGGCCGAGAGGAATATCGCGTCAGAGTCGGTCGCCCATTTGGTGGAGAGTATAATGCAGAAGATGAAGAACGAGCAGGCAATGGAAATATCGTCGCGCATCATTGATGGATTCGATGTGCAGGGTGTGGACAATGCGCCCTACCTTGTCTCGCTGAGCCTCACCCCGCTGACCTACAGCCATCAGTGCGCGGGTGCCATCATTGGCAAGCGCTGGGTCCTCACGACTGCCCACTGCTGCGAGGAGTGGCGCAGCTTCAATGGCGAGATCATTGGCAACGCCGTCTATGCGGGCCTCTCCAATCGGGCCAACGTGAGCGACGCCCAGGTGCGCTACGTGGACTTTGCCTCGACGCATCGCTCATTCAACGGCCAAGCCGGCAGCGACAACATCGCCCTGCTTCACGTCTCCGAATCATTTGTGTACTCGGCGCGTGTGCAGCAGATAGCGCTGCCGGATCTGGATGAGGACTACAGCGGCAAGACGGCTACCGCCTACGGCTGGGGACTGACCGATGTCGACGGTGATGCATACTCCAAGGAGCTGCAATATGGATTCTCCGCGCTGCTGAACAGCACGCGCTGCGCGGAGCTGCTGCCCACGGATGCGCCGCTCTCGCAGAGGCAGGTGTGCGCCCAGGTGCAGGCATGCTATGGCGACGGCGGCACTCCCCTGGTCTACTGGCCCATCGCCGGACCCGCTGAACTGGTGGGCCTGGGCTCCTGGAGCTATATGCCCTGCGGCTATGCCAATCGGCCGACGGTCTTCACCTCCGTGCCCGCCTACGTGGATTGGATCTACCAAGTGATTAGCGCCTACTACCAGCTCAACTGAGTAGCGACTAGCCAAGCCTTAAGCTAATGTCTAATAGCTCTGATCTTTGCGTAATACACTTGTCGCCAATTAAAGCAAACAACAACTATCTAATCTCTAAAATTCAGACCTAGATATCGGGCACAGACTATCAATATCGCCAATGGTCAATTAACTGCTCGATAAGACCCATAAGTTCGAAAGCCCAATTTGTGTGGATCGAGCATGCTTAATCGTAGATTATAGATTATGTCAACTTTGAGGGGCACCTGCTGCGTGTGCAGGGTCAAATCGCAATGGTTCTCAAACTGTACACGTTTCGTACATCAATCTTAATTTACGTAGAGCTCCGACAGACGTTGACAGCTGTTGCTGCTGCTGCTGCATGGGACTCGAGTGTACCACTCGGCGTATGCTTAATAAGTGCCTGGCAAAACTTTAAACCAACAAGAGCAACTCGAGCATCTAGTTTCGAGTGCTCGACAAACTTGCACAGGTGACAAACGTGGAGGCTGTCTACATTTTTATGACATCATTTGCATGTAGTTTGAACTTGCAGCTGCTGGAACTGCTGCGTATACCCTGCACACATAAAATGTGCCAAAAAGGGTATTATAAAGAAACATTTATGTAGATAGTTAGCCAGAGATATAGGCAGATAACATGCGATTCAATTATTTTAAGGGGATACTTATATATTCTGATGGCTCAGATCAGATAATACAATTGCTGTGTCTTATCTACATTGAAGTGTTTAAAGTTTAAACCTTATGTGTTTAGCAGATCATCTATTTTAAAAAGTTTATTAGCATATCATTTTGGTATTTCGAAGAGTGCGTTTCATATTTGCAGCTAAAACTTAAAAGTTCTTCTATCTTGGCAGCCTAAAGCTTGTGTGTGAATCACATGGCTCGCGAACTTGTCATTTGTCGCGATAAATATAAATAAGATTCTTTCAATTCGTATTGCGTTTCGGAACATAAAGATTATTTATCGCAGGGTTACCTTTCAATGGGAAAAAAGAAACAATGACACAATTAAATTGCTTCGCTTGGGAGAGAAAAATGAAAAAAATGAACGCCGTATTATTGTCAAACTATCGCCGAGGAGTATATTGCGAATTAAGTGTGAATCTGTAATAGAAACATCTGTACTCCGGGTATTACAAAGTCAAGCATTGCATCATAGTTCAACTTTGCCAAAAGAGTAAAGGAAAGGATAGTAGGAGTCCCACACGCACGCAGATTGCCTGGCAGCAGCTGGGTAATCCCAAATAGCATTTGCATAGTCCCCAAAGCAGTTGACGCTCTGCGTAGAGGCAACTGTAACTCAGTGAAACGCACGCACTTGCCGGCTTTATTGGCAGGCCCCTAAGCATGATTGACAATACAATATGCATACAACTGTATCTCTAGATATATCTGTATCTGTATCTCTGTCTCTAAATGTATCTGCAACTGAGGCACAGCTGCGAGCACATTTATCCCTTTTTTTTTTTGGTCCCTCTTAGCTATACTGTGCTTTGCCAGCATCTATGGGGAGGCGGGGCTGGCAGGCCAGGCAGGCTGTTACGTCAATTGAATTATGCATGTAATCGCTCTTAGCCCAAACGCGCACACAAACGAGCTTTAGAGCCAGACAAGCGTCTGTTGCTTGCCAGTTTTTTAGTCACGAGTTGAAATTTTTGCACTTCGCAGTCGATTCGCAGGCCATTTGGTTATTTGTCAATTCGATTGGCAGTGTTGGTTAACAGCAAATTTCGCATATTGAAAACAAATCAACGAACGGGTCGTTGGCTTGCAGCTCAATTAGTTAAGAGTAATTAGAAAAGTAGAAAAAACAAGACATATTCAAGTGGGGCATATCGGGTGTTTGGGGAGCTCGGGGTTAAACTGAAGTCCAATTAGCGATGCGCATCCCTTTTCCGATGGCAGCCCCAAAATCTGCAGAAAATGTGCGCTTAATTGAATAAAAATTTTGCTGGAGCGGGGGCGGGGGAGGGGTCCAGAAGGAAATGAACCGAACCGGGCTCGAATCCCAAATGACCCTCAAACACCCCCTCGCCCAAAACGAAAGCTGCGCATATTTCTACTGCAAGTAAATGTTTTCAATATCAATTATTAGAATGGACAGGGGGCTGTGGACGAAAGCGTGGAGTGCCTTCTCCCGTCCCCAAAGTGAAATTGTATCCACTTTTGCCACCTTGTGAGTTCATTAAACCGACCTCAACAAAGG